GCCTCAAGGGAAAAGTTCAGTTGCCTGTCATGATTGCTCCTCTAGAGTTGCTATGCAGCTTATTCTTTGACAAGAACACTAATGAATCTAAGAATTTCCATGCAAACATTAAGTCATACAACAATATGTTCTCATTTACTTCAATGGGAGGTAAGATTGATCACTCGAAGAATCGCGATGGCGGTCCGTATACTTTTGTGCTGTCTAGAATAAATTACCATAAGATTGGTACTTTATTGCCCCCTGAAGGATCTAGACCTGTATATTCACAATTGTATATATATGATACAATAATGAAGTGGCTAATCGGATTTCTACTATAAGGTATAATATGATTAAGAGAAATATTTGTTATTTATATATATGAGATGATATTGTATTTTATTATATATTTTGACAGAATTGACAATTATTTTTGTTTGCATGCAGTAAGCATATGAATCAAATGTTAGTTGATCCTCAAATAGTAGAGAAACTGAAGAGGGTGCTTGATGATGTTAATCCATATGTTAAACAATATCGGTTAGCATCATTGATGATTAATGAATGCAAGCATTCAGATTTGAAGTTACGGTTAATCAGCTCCAGAAATCAAGATGGACGAAACTACAATTTGCCATCAGCACCTGAGGTTGCAGCACTTATTGTAGGAGATATTGATGTGAATTTTGGTAGGAGAGATGTTATATAGTGCATGAGTTGTCTGGTTATCCTCAGCAGATTGATGAATTGCATCCTTCATATCTACCACTTCAATATCCATTATTATTTCCAAGAGGGGAAGATGGATATAGAGATGATATTGAACATCGTGAAGAAACTCTTAGTAGAACAAAAAAGAAGAAGATGCTTAGCATGAGGGAATATTTTGCATATAAACTCATGTCAAGAGTGAATGAAATTTCAATATTGTTGCATGCAGGAAATTTACTTCAACAGTTCATAGTAGATTGATACACAATGATTGAGTCTCAAAGATTGTTATGGGTAAGAACACATCAGAAGGAACTTAGAGCAAACTTGTACCAAGGGTTAACAGATGCTTTGTTAAGTGTGAAAGGAATGCCTCGTCAATTGGGAAGCATGTCATCTTGCCTTCTTCATTTACTGGTGGTGCACGTTTTATGCTTGGAAACTATCAGGATGCCATGGCTCTTTGCAGATACTTTGGTTACCCCAGTATATTCATTACTTTTACATGTAACCCAACTTGGCCTGAAATTACGAGATATTGTGATCGTAATTTCTTATCTCCTTCTAATAGGCCAAACATATTGTCTCGTATTTTTCATATGAAATTGAAGGCTTTGATGACAACAATTAAGGAGGGAAAGATATTTGGTAAAGTTCTTGCAGGTATGTGATTGCATGTTTGTTGGGTCCATTGTCTATTTTTATTAGTTCATGATATAGAGATTGTCTATTTTTATTAGTTCATGATATAGAGATATATATATATTTGTTGCTATTTTGCAGACGTAGAGATAGGTAGAGATTCAGATTATAGATTATCCGTTCTTATATATTTGTATTATTTATTTTGTAGATGTTTACACTATAGAGTTTCAAAAAAGAGGGTTGTCGCATGCACACATTTTGCTATTTCTTGATAAAAATGATCAATTGAAAGAAGCGTGTGATGTTGACAAAATTATATCTGCTGAGATACCTGATAGGCACTCAATTCTAAGTTGTATGATTTAGTAAAAAGGTTCATGGTTCATAGGCCTTGTGGTCACTTAAATAGCAAGTCACCTTGTATGAAGGATAATAAATGTACCAAGTATTTTCCTAAGAGGTTTGTTGAGACCACAACAATTGATGATGATGGATATCCAACTTATAGAAGAAGAGATGATGGGAGGTCAATTGAAGTAAGAGGTATTAGTTTGGACAATCATTTTGTTGTTCCATATAATCCATTATTGTTGGTAATGTTTCAAGCTCATATCAACATTGAGAAATGTAATCATTCATCTGCTATTAAATACCTGTTTAAGTATATTAGCAAGGGGAATGATAGAGTGGTAGCTTCTATATATGATAGTGGCCAGGAAGGAAGTAATGATCGTTTTGTCGATGAGATTCAGCAGTATTACAACTTTAGATACACTTCTGCTTGTGAAGCTGCTTGGAGAATTTTTGCATTTGGCATTCATCATAGATATCCTCATGTTGAAAGATTAAGCTTCCACTTGCCAAATCAGCAATATGTGGTATATAACAACAGTGATGATGTTGCAGACCTGGTTGAGAAGCCTAGGGTATGTGAGTCAATGTTTCTTGCATGGATGGAAATAAATAAGTATGATGACTTTGCAAAGACATTAACCTACTCAGAATTCCCTCGTCACTATGTTTATCAACGCTTGAAAAGAAACTGGAAGCGAAGAGAAAAGGGATTTGCAATCGGGAGGGTTACACATGCACCTCCTTCATCTAGGGAACTTTATTATCTTCGCATTTTAATCACAAAGGTTAAAGGCCCCACTTCTTTTGAAGATATTAGGACAATAAATGAAGTTGTCTATCCAACCTTTAGAGCTGCATGTTATGCCCTTGATTTGTTAGATGATGATAGTGAGTACATAAATGGCATAAAAGAGGCCTCATTATGGGCATCTGGTATGATGTTGAGAAAGATGTTTATTAGTATGCTCATTTCTTCATGTTTGAGTCAACCTGATTATGTATGGAAGGAAACATCAAAGGTCTTGTCTGAAGATTTATTGTACATCTCATGTAATGATCCTATATTATCAAGTAAGTCTTTGTTAAGCACAAGTTTTTAAAGTTTTGCATTTTCTAAAGAAGTCGAGTTTATGGGTGTGCCTTGATTGCACAATATATTAGTTATAATTATATTTGTTTTTGATATTTTAGGCATGTCTATATCAGATAGAAACAAGAAGAAACAGCCTTGAAGGAGATTGAATTATTGTTGCAGCAGAATGGAACGAGTCTTATTGATTTTCCATCTCTTCCTTTGCCTCCATTATGCCCTTCAATTGATGTGAGGAATCATTTGATTTTACAAGAATTAAATTATGATCGTGATGCCCTACATCGAGAGTCAAATAGGCTAATATGTTTGTTGAATCCAGATCAGAGAAAAGTGTATGATGTAGTGATGTCATCCTTGAACTCAGTGAATGGGGCTTTCTTCTTTGTGTATGGTCATGGAGGAACAGGTAAGACTTTTTTATGGAATGCATTGACATCAACTATTCGTTCTTGCGGTGATATTGTTATAACAGTAGCATCAAGTGGTATAGCTGCAACTTTGCTACCTTCTAGAAGGACTGCTCATTCAAGATTTGCAATTCCTATTCAAGTCAATGAAGATTCTGTGTGCAATATCAAACAAAATTCTCCGTTGGCTAATTTACTTCAAGCTACAAAATTGATTATATGGGATGAAGCTCTGATGGTTCAACGATATTGCGTTGAAGCTTTTGATCATACATTGAAGGATATAATGCATTCTAACCATCCTTTTGGTGGGAAATGTGTTTTAATGGGTGGTGACTTTCGTCAAATCCTTCCTGTGATTCCAAAAGGCTCAAGAGCAGATATTGTTAATGCATGTATTTGTTCTTCACACTTGTGGGATTATTGCACAATATTCTATTTGACGAGAAATATGCGTTTGCAATCATCGTTATTGGAAGAGGATTGTAGTAGAATTGAAAAGTTTTCGCAATGGATTTTAGAGGTGGGGGATGGTAAATTAGGTCTGCCACATGATGGAACAGCAGAAATTGAGATACCTTCTGAATTGTTGGTTAGTCAGTCTGATGATCCAATTGGTGCTATTGTTTCTTATACATATGCAGATCTTTTTGAGAATTTGAATAATAATTCGTACTTTAATGATTGAGCAATTTTAGCACCAACCTTTGATGCTGTGAATCAAGTTAATGAGTACATGTGTTCAATGTTGCCTGGTGACTCTATTGATTTTTATAGTTGTGACTCTGTTTGTAAATCCTTTCTGGATGATGATGGAATTGAAGACCTTTACACAACTGAGTTTTTGAATACAATAAATAGTTCTGGGATGCCAATGCATAAGTTGACCTTGAAGATTGGGACACCTATTATGCTTTTAAGGAACATTGACCAGGCTTCTGGGTTATGTAATGGAACAAGATTACGGATTACTCATTTAGGTAAATCAGTAATAGAAGCATTGACTTTGAATGGGTCCATGCCGAATCAGAAGGTTTTAATACATCGCATGGACATGAACCCTTCTGACAGTCGTTTGCCATTTCGTATGCGACGAAGGCAGTTTCCCATATCTGTTTCATTTGCGATGACAATTTAAAGTCAAGGTCAGTCATTGCATTGTGTGGGGCTCTACTTGCCGAATCCGATTTTTACCCATGGACAGTTGTATGTTGCCCTATCCAGAGTAAAATCTATTGAAGGATTGAAGATTCTCCTGCTCAATAAGGGTCACGGAAAGAAGAACTTAACGACAAATGTTGTATATAGGGAAGTCTTTCTAAATGCAAATATTAGTTGTTGATTTATATTTTTTATATATTTTTTAGCATACTTGTGAGATGCTAATGTCATTAGTCTGTGAGAATGGTGTAAGATGCTGATGTCATTAGTCTGTGAGAATGTAATATTTTGTGTAAGATGCTGGTGTGATTAGTTGTTCAATTTGCCGTGGGAGGACAGTTCAAGGTTTACCATGTCAGGTAACTTTAGTGTCGTAACACATGGTTTCACACAAATTAGAGAAACTGAATTGACGTTGTTGCAGTTGGTATTCCTTATGAATTTAACGTTTACACGTGCATGGTTAGTCCATGCACTGAAAGAATTTTTTCACTGTTCATATTTGGGGGGTTATTAATTTCTAAAGAATGGATTGAATGATAGGGAGACAATTTTTTTAATCTGGTTAGTCAATGCTTCTCGCGCATCGCGCGGGGATTACGCTAGTTAATCTAAATAAGACTAGAAGGGGGAAAAGGAATACAAGGTTGGAGGGAAAGAGTTATATTCTCTAATGAGTAATAACACGCATATTAATAAGACACCGATCAGCCAATATATCCCCAATTCACAAGATTAACACTTCAGAAGAAATATTAACAGTTGCATATTCAACCGTACATAATCCCAAGTTAGTTTTTACTCGGAAAATTACCCCCGCCCCAAACAAAAACAACACACAATAAACCGTGGAATTAAAAAGCTGTTTATACAGGGGCAAAGAGAGTAGCTAAACCTTGATCCACAGTCACTTGAAGTTGATCATAGGTCATCAAAGTCTTTCTATCACAATGGTAAGTTCCTTTTCCCCTTGCCAAAACCTCACCATCTACATCGATGATCCCTCCCTTCTCTTGCTCCTCCATGCGTGGTCCAGGTTCTAACAACAACGCTTTTACCTGCATTTTCTTGAAATTAAGTGTTAAACAAATTTTCAGCTCAAAAAAAAGGTGTTAAAGAAATCAAGCATGAAAGAAACAACATGAATTTAAAAGCTCATAGCTGCAGCCACGAAAGTACTCAACGTTTGTGATCTCACCTTAAGGTACATGACATACGGAGATCTCACATGACCTCCATTGCTCATCTCAGACATCACCGACAGCAAATGTAATCTTGGGCATTTCTTGATAATGATCAAGTCCACATAACCGTCAGAGAACTGCATACACCAAATTTACACGACACAGGAGTGAGAATAATGCCTCTAAATAACACAGATTAATCTCAGCTCATAAGAAATGATGTACTTCAGATTAATCTTAATGTAGTGCAAGACAAACCAAATCATGGCAGCGGTTGAGAAATTCCTTTTGCCAGATATCAGGGATACAATAGAAAATTCTCATATTTGCTGAATCGTGTTGCAGTCTGAACAGACCAGCCTACTTTCTACCTGTTTGTTCTATATATCATTGCTTATTTTAGTGTTCAATTACTGCTGGTACTATAGCCATGCTCAATCCATTTTCATGATGTGAGTTGGTGTCTGATATTGTCTCAAGCCGCCCTGCAAATGACCCCACAAACACTAACTACCTCTGCCAGCCTACTCTCTCTGCAAGTCAGTCATGTGACGTTCCGTTGTTGTCAACCTCTAGTCCAACCCAAAATCACACTGTTCATAGAGTGATCTTTCTCCTCTAGATCACATATAAGGCTCTGCCATAGGTCCAAGGATGTGGGCTCTAATACCACTTAATATGGAAACAGAGTAAGAAGAAGATGGCGGGATTGTAGAAGAGAAAACGAGGGGAAAAGAGTGCAAATCTCTTATTAACTACAGGACAGGCACATTGAAACCATCCTTCTTTTATAGCCGCTGGTTGCTTAAAGCTACTTAACTGATAGAAGTTCACCCTCATCCATATATTGCTTGACATATTATTGCTTCGCATCTAATGGAATTCTCCAATGATATTTATACTGAATAGACCAAGAAAATTCTGCTAGAGTGTACCCTTAGCAGACAAACACACCTACAACAGAGAAAAAAGGAAAAAAAGGAAACCATAGAAAGCAGCATCACACATGGTCAAGCTAGCTTTTGAGGAGCTAGTTCTCTTCTAAGGCACTAAGTACACGCACAAGGTAGCTTTTGAGAGGTTAGTTCCCCCAGTCCCACCTATATTCATCATTCTCTAAGCTTTCTTCTCACCTCTGATGAACAAAGAGTTATTCTTCCCCATTTGCCCCTTCTGTCTGAATCCTTTGTACCCCTGTAGACTTTCGTGTTAATGGGACCAGGCTCATCAGTATCACATCATTTACAGCTCATACATATACATGAAATCACAGACTTCCTATCTAATCTTCTGACATAACCGAAATCAGCTACAATAACTAAAGGCTGTCGTTGCGTACCTAGAATCCGACTGACTCGTTGAAATACCCACACCAAATTGAATCACAGAGATGGACTCCAATTAAGCAACAAGGCAAATACACCAAGAGAGAGAAGAGGCCTAAGTTTCTGAAGAGAGGGAGAAGCCATTACTGTTTCTGCACTTGGGAGCATGTGCATGTCAAAACTGAAACTTCCTCTCCTCTCAACATGCCAGACAATTGCACAGCTCCCTCTTATCACATAAGGGGTATATTGCACATATTTTCCACATACACTGCTTTATTTCTATCTGTACCCCACTTAAAGTGGGCTGAGAGTTATCCATCAAGGATGGACTGGTAGGCTTTTTCCAACATAACTAACATAATTATTGCGTCTCTCACCGCTCAACACAGCTTAAATGTTTAAGGAATAATTTTCCCAAAGAGTAGGATGTCAAGCTATTTAACATCTGAAGTCTTTTATTTTTCTCTAGTTTTAAAAAAGGAAAAGAGAAGAAAAACTCAAGACAAACGCTAATAGGTGTCATGAATCATGATGTTAGTTCTTTATTTGTATATTACCTTCATGAAGCAAGTCTTGATCCAACTTGTAGCAAATCAATTTCGACATTCAAGAAGAGGAAAAAAAATGGGCACATCAACCAACCTGTGCTTCAGGTGCCGCCATCAAGTGTTCACTAGACCAAGGTACATTGTTCATCCAGAGAGAAATGAATGGTCCAGTTATAACTCTCCAACTCAAATTCTCCAAGTTGATGTCAGGCCCCTGGTACCTAAGCCTCCATAACTTGATAGGTTCAGTAGAAGCAGTGTTGTTGCCACTGCTAGTAGATTTGGCAGGGTAACTAATAGGCTCCCCATAAGTTTCAAACCCAGGTGCAGGCATGAAAGAAATACGTCCATTGTATTGCCTCAAATGGAATATTCGACTGAGAGCCTAGAACAAACAATTTCAAGAATAAACAAATCAAAAACACAGTAAGTAATAAAATTTAATCAATTATTTAGAAAACAAATTGCAGAAGTATAAGAATGGTAAACAAACTTCAAACATCAACTTAGCACATCTGAACTGAAAGGCAATTAATAACAGCGAAAATTTCATTTGCATCTCCACCCGCTCAAACAGTCAGGAAAATGAGAAGTCAAAATCACCCTTCAAACAAAATGGAACTAAGCAATGCATATAAGAAACCTACCGATGGGAAACATGGTTAGAATTTATGTTTTAGTAATTTTAAGTTTAGCAATTATCTTTATTTTAAAATTTAGAATTTAATTTATTTTCCATTTGAATTTGGATAGAATTTATTAAGATTTATCTTTTATCCTATCTTTTATCCTCCTCCTCCGCTCCTCCTCATAATACTGCTGCTACTTGCCACTACAACCACCACCACTACCACACTACCACTACTATTAGTACCGCCAGTAATATGTTTGAGATACCAATGTTTACCTACCACCATGTTTTGCAAAGATCTTGTGAGGTATACAGGTATTAAAGAGAGGATGTTACACTCCCACTCAGAAATCTTTGTTCCTAGCAACATCTATGCTATCTCTGTTTACTGACTTAACCTCTTTCATAGTTATACTCCCAGTTTCAGGACCATTGGTGCAGTCAGCAGTTATTTGAAACCCAGACCAACCAACTATCATACAAAAAGGACTCAGATATTAAGACAAAGAAAGCATTATTACTAAACATGGCATGGCAAAATTATAATGGCTTACTAACATAAAAATCAAAACGAGCACTCCCCATCCATCGATATATTTCAGACTCAATGTCAATATCTGCCACCAGCCCTGAAATAGAATAATATATTCAGAAGATACAACAAAATGCTAGTGTAAACATCATGGTCCAAAATAGAGATTTGCCATATGAGCCCATGATAAATAAATATTTAGAAATATACGGTAATGCTATTTACCCCATGCAATCATCAATACACTGAAAAATCTGTTTTCCCCTTGCTTGATTGTAACCACATCTAGTGATCGCTTATGACCTGTAGATATTTGATGTGGAGATGATTTTTTACTAACATGGAAAAGAATTTAAAAAAATCGGTAAGATAAAACATATTTGCCGGATGGAAATGATCAGCAACCTCGTATAATGGTAAGAGCAGCATTAGCAGCTGTGCAAGGATCACCAACCAAATCAAGAAGAGATTTTGCCACACCATTTCCCGTACCTTTGCAAAGAATGAATCAATTTCAAAACTCAAAAAAATAAAAAATAAGAAGAAAATAACTTATCAGAAGAGAGAAAAAGAAGAGCAAAAGAGATAGACAGACTAGAGAGGAGGAAGAAAAAGCAAGAAAGGAGAGGGCAACTAGATAAATAGAGGAGGAGGAATTTCAATTCTTAATTTTATTCAATTCATAAGACATCTACAAAATAAGACATGTTAACTGCATAATATTCCAGAAATTAGTAGCTCTTAATGACTAATAATACCCTAAGAATAATATCTGACCCTATATAATTCACATCAATGTTAGAATATTATAATATGTTACAAATAGAAAGCAAGTTTTGCACCAAGCTAGCCAACCAAAGACGTCATTTCAATGGAATCTTGGAAAGTCCATCTTGGTGAGCCAAATCAGCACGGGGCAGTCTCAATTCTGACTCAAGTGATGGAATCCAAAGCTTTGCCTATCCCCACCACTTTGCCTCTTGCATCTGCTCTATTAACAGACCCTCAGGTTCCCGTGAAGGCTATCATCTACAACAACAGAGCCTCTAGAGTTTCTTGCATTCCAGCCATCCTCTTTGCCAATCTGTCAACTTCAACTGCTCCACTTCATGATCAACTTACTTTGCTACTCGTTTCCTTGCATGTTCCTTGGGTACCAACTAAGTGTCATCAACATCCTCCTTGGGCACCAACTCTATTTAGACTTATTCATAGTTAATAACTGTCTAACTATTTCCACATCAATTATAACTCTCATATCAGAAACATTCGTCTCTTACTTGTAATTATAGTGGCCAGATCAGAGGAAAGAAATAATAGCCCTAAAAATTCTGCATATCTCTCCATCTGTTCCCATCCCCTTTCTCCCAAAATTATTCCTCTAGAATCTCCTAATCAGCCTCCCTAGATCCCTGCAGTCCAAAATCCTAAACAAACCTCATTATTCTGCCTTGTGGCTTGCACATCTCAAACAGTATTCAATGCCCTCAAAAGGGGCCCCCTTCAAATTAAATAAGAAAGAATACTGAGTCATATCTGATTTTCAACCATTAGAATCAATCTACCCAGTCAGCATGATAGTTAACATATACATTAATTAGAATATGTTTACAAGATTGGACATATAGGTGCCACCCCTCCTCAATTTCAACTTTGTTTGCTGAATTCACTTTTTTTTAAGTAATCAGTAATTTGTGGTTATATCTTGAACCGCTTCTAGCTAATTATTTCTGTACATGTCAGTATTTTCATATTTATTTAGCACTCAAAAATTTCTGACTTGCAAAGTTGTTTTCAGTTGTGTTACTTATGATTATATCCCTCTAACCAATATCCCATATCCGTCTAAATTTGTTTGAGCCCTTGTTTGAGCAACTGTAGTTCACCTCCCAGTTCTATTGCATTAACCTTCAACAGCAGTAACTCTGGTATGAGTGAAACATATAAGTATTAATTGTACCACTGTCCATTAATGTATTCTTCAACCTGTGAATGTGCGAAAAGTGTAAGGATGCCAAATGCAATTCTTTATTAGGTGCTTCATCAAAAAAGACCAAAAGAGAAATTATTCTATAAATCAGATTTAAAATAATGGCCTATTCTACTAAATAAGCCCCAACTTCTTAATTGTAGAACCTCTTCATTGATGCCATCATGAAGCAAAGAGTGCATAGTAACAAGAAAATGAATGAGTAAATTCTGACTAAATTTAACTTAGTCTAATTAAATAAATTCTAACTAACAAGAAATCAAATAAGAAACACACCTGCAGGAACTACACCAATAGGTATCTTTATGGCAGTTTCCCAATCATCTCTTTCAAGCAGTCCATTAATAACCTACTAAAATGCAAGGTTCTAGTAAGCTTAGAAAATAGAAGCACCCATAGAAATGTAGTGAGTCAATCAATGCAAGTGTGCTTCAGGATACATGGTTTATAATTGCGGAAAACCAAACCATGATGCTTTTATGTTCTCTTATTACTTTAATATGAGCATGAACTGCACTGTCACCATGCTATCGATCAAGCGGCAAATCCAGTAGACATGACAAGAAATGATAATTACCAGGCTTAACCAGTAGTTCACTTAGAACTGAATTATGGGATTGACAATGATCACGATTAAACATGAGAATAGCTAAAGATAGTAGTACCTAATTAGCATACATACGTTGAAGAATTTTTCAAACGCAGACCAGTAACAATGACTCTTCAAGTATAGCAATTAAGAGTTGTTTATTAGTATAATGACTTCAAGTTACATGTATAATCAACATTTTAATGAGTTCCACAATGAGTTACACTAAGAACATCTCAATCTTTTTCACCTTTCATTATCTCAAGCTACACGGATTACACGACCCATTGAGCTCTATCCAAGGCTTTCATTGTTGTTGTTGTATCCTAAAGACAAAATAAAAAACAATGCTCTTTCCCCGTCTCCCCTTACAAATGATTACAAACCATTGTAGAAATTTAAATTTAAATACTAGTTTTCTCTTTGCATATGAAAATGACAAAATTAATTCCCAGAAATGTCTCTCCCTCTATAACCATTAAGGGATAGAATAAGGGTCAAAATTGGTAGAGCCATCCACCAATGAGGATAATCATGGTGGCAGTTATTGCAAAAAAAGAATATTAAATGAAAAGATAGGAAACTACCTCAACCAAGATTCCATCACCACTAACACATATGATCCCATCATACTTAGATATATCTAGGGCACGAGCAACTTCCTTTGCATGGAGCTGATGTTGGGTTTCTGAGGGATAAATATAATACAAACATAGATAAACAAAGAAACACCAAAAGGAAAAGTTTAATACTTGATAAATAATCTAGAGGAAGGGAAAGAAACTATAAAAATTTGTGGAAGAATCAGGACCTTGGACTGTGATTTGGATTTCAGCATCTTCAAGAAGAGGTTTCACATGATCACGAAAAACTATGGGGGCAGTTTTCTTCCCACCAAATGGATTAAGAAAAATAAATAGTCTCTTAGGACGACCTGTTGAGGAAAAAATTAAATTTAGCTATATATTTCAGACATGGAAGCAATCTACAAGGAAGCCTGCAATAACATCAACCTGAAAATGAAAAAGGACTGCAGATCATTGGTCTGTTAACAAGAAGACAGAATGAAATAGAATTTGTCAAAGAGTCTGTGTTCACAGTGACAACTAATTTTGCAAGCTTGCTCCCTTTGTATTAATGATATCAACTAATAACATAATTCAGAATTAATTAAGCAATAAAGTGATATAAAAAGCTGGGGGGAAAATAAACTCACATTTCCATTTTTATATACAAAATTTCGGAGTCAGCTAAATGGTAAGTAATACTCTGAACTAGGAAAGAATCATAAAGATGCTGCTCCATACAAAGAGAACTGGGTTGGATGGACATTCAAGTGAGATGAGAAACCCTACCCCAAATGCTAGTTATTGAGGTAGAAAAACCATCACTTAAATAGTCTATAGAGAATCCTATGCTAAATGTGGGATTATTAAAATTAAAACTAGAAAATGAGAGCGAAGATTGAAAGTTGGCCCCGGGGAAGAAGGGAAGATTGATAGAGAACAAATTCACTTATGTGAGGCTTCGAATACCTCGGCTTAGGAATCTCAGACTATCTTAGTTTCAATCACAAAAAGGGGGAAAAAGATCTCAAACAAACAAATGTTAAGCTTTTTAAAGATGAAATTCAATGGCTAAACATGTCTTTAGACTCTACATTTAGAAGCAGAATTTGTCCAATGCAGTCAACAGAACCTGGGAAAGGTCTAAAACTAAGAGTAAGAGTAACCATCACAACAAATGCAGTGATACTTGATTCCTTGGGTCCCATGAAAATGGAGTTAAATAAACAGAAACGTAATTCATATCGCCACCAGTTGGTCCAACTTTTCGTACAATTTGTAAGAGAAAATATATTTTTGTGGCCCCAAAAGAGCAGTGCCCCTTAGTTCCCGTCAGTAAAACCCAAAGCAAATTTACATGCTCAAATTGTTGAACCCAAATGATCAAGGAATGTAACTTTGGGGAAAAGTTACATTTTCTATAAATAAACAAAGATAACGAAAAACGATGAAATGTCTACCAAGGGAACTAAGGTATTCACGAAGCTTTTGAGACCAGAGCCTCTGCGATTCGTGGGACAGGGGTTGAAGCACGATATCCTTTCTAACCAGTTTTCTATTAACACGGCAGCAGCCTTCGTTGGTTTCCAGGATGGTTTTGATTTTGATGTTGGCACCGTCAGTGACAAACCCGAGAACCTCTTTATCAACACGTAAACACCGCGGAACACCATTGGGCAACCGCAGTCTGCCGTCGGCTAGCAGAGCCACCGGCGTCTCGGTGCCGTCGACGATGACCCGTTCGGAGATTAGGGGGGGAGTGTGATCGGACTGATCCATTCAAGAATCCTGACTCCTGAGTGGGGAAAGCAGGTGGCAAAATTGCCGAACCGTTTAAGGGCCTGTTTGGCAAGCACCCCAATCTATGGTTTTGGGACCTAAACTATATGGACTTGTTTGGATAACATAGAAAACCATGATTTTGGAATCCAAATCATGGTTTGGGTACCAGACTTGCCAAACACCCAGGAAAAAACAGAAACCATGGCTTTAGGTCAAAACCATGGTTTGGAGGTCAAAACCATGATTTCAGAAGAAATGAATTCATTTTGCTTCTGGCTCAAATGGGAGAGTATGATTGTGCCTGTAGAGTAGATCTTAACAATAATATGATTTTAACAATTATTTTTTATAAACATATCTAATCTTATATTTTATAAATATATATACATATTAATTATATTTTTTATATATTATTAATTATGTTGGTAAAAAAATATATTATAAACTCTATCTTTTATGTAATTATCATATTAACTTATGCTTTTTTTAGTAAAATTTGTACATATAAAAAGTTCTTCTGATAACAACTATCCAAATACTCTCATTTATCAGAATCACTTTTTCACAAAATCTATTCTTCACAAAATCTATTTTTTCCAAAATCTATTTTCCAGAAGCTATTCTTCAAACCATGGTTTGGTTTTATCCAAACACCCCCTATGGTTTGGAGAAAATGTCAGCCAAACAAGCATAGAAAATGTGAAACCATGGTTTGGAGGTCAAACCATGGTTTTGAAATTTGAACCCCCAAACCATGGTTTCACCAGAAGCGGTCCAGAGTTGCTTCCCGGCTCAAATTATTGGAACCTTGCTGTGGGCCCAACACGGGATGACAAAAGAGCCCCCTTTCCTGACTCAAATAATTGATTCATTCATTTCCCAGTTAGTTCTACGCATTTGCTCTTCCTTTTCTCCTTTGCTCTTTCCTCCTTCACAAAACTAGATATGTTATTACAAAAAATAGCTGTGAAAAAATATTATGGGATTTTGTGTTTAAAATATTTAAAGAAAATTAATATTTTTCTGTTAGTGAAAAAAAATCATTTTTCTATAAACATATTTAATATTATGTTTTATAAATATATATACACATATTAATTATTTATTAATTATATTATCTTTTACATTATTAATTATGTTAGTAAAAATTATTTTATTAACAATTTTATTTCTTCAAATCAAAATATATTATAAAATCTATTCCTTATATAATTATCATATTAACTTATACCCTTTTTAGTAATTTGCACATGTAAAAAGTGTTTCTGGTAACAACTATCCAAACACTCTCACTTCTCAAATCACTTTTTCACAAAATCTATTCTTCACAAGATCTATTCTCCCCAGAAGCTATTCTCCAAACCATGATTTGGTTTCATCCAAACACCCCCTAAATTAGAGTTGATGGCACTGTTTAAGAAAATGAAGTTAAGGTCTTGTGGGAAAACAGCTTTTTATTTTTTCAAAAAAAATTATTTAGGAAAATTGAAAAAAACACCCTTAAAATTATGAAACTGTAAAATGAACATTTGAATAAATAAAATTGCTATCAGAACTTGGTCATAAATATAAATTATGAAATATTTGAGAAAAGACCAAAATACCCCTTTCTTATTCTCTTTCTTTTTGTCACACCTTCATTTTTTAAACCCTATTATACGTCATTTGGAACCATTTGGAAGCAGTACGCTGTACTTAAAGTAGGTAAAAACCAAGGATTTAAAAATTTGATTTTTTTTGTTACTATTCATGTAACCCTTAAAATCGGGTCAACTTTGAAAAATTATAACTAAATATAGAAAAATCAAAACGAAGTGGTTCCAAATCTCATGCGAAGCTTATGAAAAGCTCTACATAGAAAAATAATCATGGATATCATTTCCTCACGGATCAGTGCCAGCTTCCACGAAAATATGTACTGTTCATTTGGTAAATTCTGGAATTTCCAATATTTGGTAAAAATAATCATGGATATCATTTCCTCACGGATCAGTGCCAGCTTCCACGAAAATATGTACTGTTCATTTGGTAAATTCTAGAATTTCCAATATTTTTGCCCATCTTTAGAAGGGCATAACTCTTTGCACAAAATTCCAAATGTAATGATCTACCACTTGATTTAAAGCTTAAAATGTGTGCTATAAGTCTGCCAAATTTCAAGTCCAGATTTGAACAATTGCTATTTATTTTATGTGTCCCAAGTTTGGTCATTTCTAGGGAAAGTTTATCCCCTAATCATACTTGGTTTTATCTTCTCTTAACCTTTTACCCATCCTTAATCATATAGGCTTTAACACATACTTAAACATACATTCTAATATACTCCCACATGTTTAAACATAGACATACATGTTTGGCTCCTATTAGGAGCTATTATCCAACAAACATTTCATAATTTGTAACATTCCATAACAAGTTCCAAAAGTCATTCGAGGGTATAGTAAATATTCATTTGGCCTCCGGAACTACTTCCTTGCCCTTGCCCTTGCCCTTGCCCTTGCCCGAACTCCCTCCTAGGTGGTGTTAAACATAAGAGTGAGATTTCAAAAAAATCCTAGTAGCAAGGAATCACAATTATCATGCATTCATGCAAACACTACGTGCAATGCTTTTGTGCATTTATCTTGCTTATGTGTTCACGATTTTATGCCATGGAAAGGAAGCTATCATACATATATTCAGAGGACATAATGCCAAGGCAACATAATTCAAACATTGCAATCAACATTTGCAACAAAGCTTAGTCACATCATGGCACACTTTGCACACATACACATTGACACATCAATGTAAGCAAGAAAACAATCAAAATGTAATTCAATGCTACCTTTTGACACTTGGTTCTTGATTTCCTTTAAGTTGAAGATGTTCTCTTGAGGATTTGGCAAGGTACCTATCAAACCAATACCAATGCCAATGATTCAACAATTATCCAAACATATTACACATTACTTAAACATTAAACCCCTTTTCTTTGGATTTTTGGCCTAATTATTTTCCCTTTGATTCAAGTAATCTCTTAGGCCATTCCTACATGATTTTTCATGTAGAACCCAACTATCAAATTAGATTTTTCAAAATCAAACCCCTTCCTCAAGAACTAGACAAAACGGAAAGGGTATAGGTTTCAAGGCTAAAATTTCCAATTTGATTTTTAATGCTTCCAAACTTAATTCCTCCACATATCCCTACACAAAAATACCCAAGGAACTCAATGGGAGTATTAAAATCATCAAAATCCAATCCCAAGTCCAAGAATTCTCATTGGCCGAACACATGTTCTTAGATTCCTAAATTTCCATTTTTAATTCTAATGAATTTAAACGTACTTTCATAGCATAATCCCACACAAAATCACATTTTAAATCCATTGGGACCATTAAAACTCATTGAAACAAATCCTACCCTTGAGTTTTTGAGTTGGCCGAACTGAATAGTTATAGGTCCTAGGATAATTTCTTCCATAACCCATCCAAAACAGCACCAAACATCAAGATTCAATGTCATTAAACAAGTTGCTATCCATTTCCTAAGATTTCCAGCACAACCAGAATTTTTTCCAGCAATTTCCTTTACCAAGAACTCATGATTTAGCCATTGGAAATGCACCAAATTAATGCCTAAACATACTTAAGGAGTTCTTGATCAAAGCTTGATGATTAGCCTTGGATTGGAAGTGGTTTTGAAGGTGTTTAGAAGTCAAGAAAAATTTGTGCAGAACCTCCCTTATTTTTCCAGATTTTTGCACGAATTTTGGGAAAATTATGGGGGTATTTATAGGCCACAATTTCTCCTGGTTCTTCCCCCTTTGGCAAGAATTTTCAAGTGCCAAACATGGCCTAAAATTAAAGTTAAACCATCAGCAAATCCTAGCCATCCACTTGCATCTTGCTTTCCAAGTCATTTTTTATCAATGGTTGAAAATTTGCCCAGCACATAAGCCAGCTATTCTGGTCATGATGAGCATGAATTTGGGCCTTGTTGGATGCTAACTAAATGGTAAAAATTGATTAGGAAGCAATGGAATTGGTTAGGGTATTTTAAAAAATCATTTGGTTACATAATACCCAATATCTTGCCCCCTATTAGGAAAAATAGCTAAGGGCTTCAAACATTCTATTTCTTTTCATGATAAATCCCTATTTGTTCCAAAAGTGTGATCTGGAAGTTTTGGGAATTTTTCAAGGCCTCTAGGTATTTATTTCACATTTTCTCCGAAATCGAGTTTTTACCAATAGGAATTCGGAAGTAAATTCCCCATAAATTATTTCCTGCAGTTATAATGCTTGAAAATAATTTTATAAATTCATATATATTCCTAGGGAGTGTATATATATTTTTTCTTGAATTTTTGGAGTCCTTAGGTAATTAAAATAATTGTATCGCTCTAATTCCCCTTTATTTTTTCCCTATTTTCCCAAAATAATTCTTTTTTTGGGAATTTTTACCAAAATTTATTTTGGGCCATTCTCATTTCCAAAACATCAAATGTGACTCAAAAACCCCTAATTCCACCTTTTTCTATTTTTAGGGAATTTTTGAGAACTTTTCTCAAAATTACTATTTTGCCCTTAAGGACCCGATAAAGTCGGTTTCGTCCCACTTTGGGTTTCTATGCTTTACTCACACCTTATGCTTATCAATCATGTCTCATTCCTTACATTCCCATTACTAGGGTTTCAAATTTTGGAATGTTACACTTTTCATCTCATCCTCTCTTCTTTCCTTCTTCTCTTCATCTCCCTCTCTCTGTCCTTTTCTTCGCCCTTCTCTTCCTCCACAACATGCCTTATTTGTCTCTTTTATCCCAAAGAAGGAGGAACATTGTGTTAGATTTAAGGTTTTGATAATAACAAAATAAGCAATTAAGTTTCTCTTCATACTTGTTATATTAATCGATCATGTGATCAATCATTGGTTGATCAAATATGTGCTAGATAATTGACCACGTGTTATGAGTTCAAATACTGTTAAGATTTATTGATCACATGTTAGATAATTCACTATGATAAATAACCTGTTAGATCAATAG